CTTCTCATTCTTTAATCATTTATATCTTGACCCTATGGCTAAGTTCATCGGATTAAAACCAAATAATTTAAATTTTAAATTAAATAGATTATATCAAAAAAAAAAATTTATTGTGAATAAAAATGAAAAAAATTGTTGCATAATAATTTCGTGCGTCTCAAGAAAGAAAAAAGAATTCATTTACATAGGCATAAAGTTTTTTTCTTTTAAACAGAATGCAAATGCATGCTGAAATATATTAAAGGATAAAGAGGTTACATAGGAACATAAGAGAGAAACAAAAAGCAAGGGACAAAACCTAAAAGTTAATTAATTTTTTTTATGAGTGTTTTTGTTAAAAGTTTCATATCAAATAATATAATGATTGATTAAGTCAAAATAAATAAATAAATTGAAAAGACATGAACAAACTACATGTCAGTTTTATGATGAAAAAAATAGAAAATAAAATAAGTAATGGAAGGTACAGAATCAATTTCAGTATAAAAAAAAAATCAATTAGGAAGGTAAAGAATCAATTTTCAATTTGCCGGCTTTTTACTTCTAATATGATTTTCACTGTCTTAATGATTATTAGTTAATATGATTCTAAGGAAGCTTTAGCTAAAACTGATCATCAACTTACAACTATAACTAATTTTCAATGGGACTGCTGACCTTATAGGATAATCTTATTTGACCTTTTTTTTATTTTTTATTTCTAGATTCAGCAATGAATATGTAAAACAATAACTATCAACAAAGAGGAAATTATATATATATATATATATATATATATATATATATATATATATATATATATATATATATATATATATATATATATATATATATATATATATATATATATATATATATATATATATATATATATATATATATATATATATATATATATATATATATATAAAAGGTAAATTATGATATAGTTTATAGAAAAAATCATACTCAACCAAATCAAACTATAATAAAAATTTATTCGAACTGAACTGAACTGTTTCAATATACTTAGAACTGAACTGAATCAACGTTATTAGTTTGATATATTGTTTAGAAATTCTGAACCGTATCAAACCGTTAGAAGACAACTTTTTTAAACCGAACTGTTTATTAAATAATCGAACCATTAAACTATTTTTCAAAATTTTAAAATAAATTAAAACTTGTTTTTAGTATTTTTAATTTTTCAGTTTGGTTACAATTTAGGTTCAGTCCGATTTCAGTTCGGTATGGTTCTAGAACTGTTTCGTATAATATGGTTTGGTTCACTAACCAAACATAATAATTCAGTTATTTTAACTTTAGTTCAGTTCAGTTCGACGGTTTGGTTCTGTTAATGGATTCTCACCTAAATGAAGTACATTAATATAAAGTAGAAATTATAAACGTTAGTTTGGGCTGGATATACTATAATACTCATTTTTATATTTGCGTTTGAAAAAAATTCTTATATCCGAATCTATACCCGCTTGCGTACCAACATTAGCATATGTACTTGTGCCCTCTGAATATGTAAGCACTCATGCTCGTATCGGTAATACGCATTTCTAATAAAAATAAATATATTAAGTAAAAAATATCATATCATTTTATATTTTATGATCATTAAGAAGTTTTTAAAAAATTTATTATTAAATCATGAAATAAACAAACACTTATATTAAATATGTAATAGTTTAACATTGATATATTCTTTAAAATTGATAGACATTTATTTTTATATAATAATATAAATCAAAATATATAAATAAATTATTATGTAGGTATGAGGCGGAGTGGGTATTAAGGTGTTCATATCCGTACTCATACCTGCTTATTTAAATGGATAATTATTCAAGTTCGTGTCCGTATTCATTTTTGCAAGTTTTTATTCTATATGTTGTTGATATTTTTGTGGGTATCCACTGAAGATAGGTCAAATTCTCATCTTTAAAGGTTAAGCTTAAAAATGGCAAATCAAGGACCAAACATGAACTTAAATATCCAATAATCACAATCAATTAATTGAATGTTCCATGATCGTTAAAGGATAAAGAGAAATATATCTCGCTGGGTAAAATGTGAAATCGTCAACCCATTTTAAAAATGTGCAAGGCGACTCTAGCTAGTGACTTATTCACAAACACTTCCAAATGAAGAATTTGGTATGATATACTAATAGATCTACATGAAATATATAACTTATTAGAAAAAATAATACCATTTACCAAATGACCACTCAGTACCACATGTAAGACGTAAAAACTACAACTTAGAAATAGATGCCACAAAAGCTTCAAATTCATACAACACACACACTTCAAATTCAAAGGTTTCGGGATAATCCTCCTTTTTAAAAGGTTGTCATATGTCATAACTATATCTAGAAGGTGCTGTCAAGAGAAGGTCTTATCCTCAAGTGAGCTCTAGCTCTTCTAACCAAGAGACTAAACCCTAAGAAGATCACTTGAAAAAGGCGAGGTACTTAATTGATCGCTAGTCTAGAGAGTTCAATAAGCTAAAAATACTAAATCCTAACTTGTAGAAACATGAATACAAGTCCAATTATTGTTTGTCAAACTAATATTAATCCTTGTAATGAGAATCATAATCTCCTCAGCGTCTCGAGCTCATAAATAAACAAATATCTCCACCAAGTCAGAACTCAAACTATTTATCACCAACTCTATTACCCACAATAGTGATGGTTGACAACTTTTGGTTCGATACTAGCTAAGCAAGAAAGCGTTATCAACCACTGATCAGATAATTATTTTGTCAAAAGACAATTACCAACCATTTTCAACATTTCCTTCACAAATAAGTCGCTAGCCTTATCATAAATGACCTCTAAATGGGAGATTTGATTCCATAAATAAGATAAATGTCAGCTAGCTTTACCATTATTGACCTCTAAATATGAGAGATTTGATTCCACAAATAAGAGAAACAATGGTCTAAGATTGATAAATGCACTTGCTAAAGTACAAAAATTGAAAGACAGTCTGTTCACATAAGGATTGTGAAATACTCTGTGTATTTTCTCTATGAAATTCGTGGATCCCCCTTTTTAATTATGAGATTGAGATATATAGAAAGGATCCCTGAATCGAACCCTAGAAGAAACAATTTTTTTCACTTTCTTTTTCAGAAACGTATGAGTATGAAAGACCATTTCCTCCCTAAATTGTAAAAGAGACGACTTTCCCCCCTTAAGTGATATTGTTAGACCATTGTTATTTAAACACCTCATAAGGCACATGTAATAAGTGAAATGCACATCGAATACCATTTCAGACAATTAGGCCAACTTTAGGCGCTTGGACAAGCCCAATAAAATAATCAAAATCTATAACGTATTTTTTATTATTTGGATTATATATTATTCCTTCCGTTCCACAATGAGTGATTCATTGACTATTTCACTCAGATTAAGAAAAATGAATAAATGAAAGAGATAGAATAATATTTTTACTAAAATAATATTAATTAGAGGGTAAAATTAATTGAAAAATATGTATTAGAAATTGAAATTGACCATTTATTTTTAAAATAATTTTTCATTTCAAATGTGTCACTCATTATGGAAAAGAGAGAGAGAGAGAGAGAGAGAGAGAGAGAGAGAGAGAGAGAGAGAGAGAGAGAGAGAGAGAGAGAGAGAGAGAGAGAGAGAGAGAGAGAGAGAGAGAGAGAGGAGTTTTGTATCAATGTAGTTCTTTTCCTTTAAAGTTAATCTTTTATGTAAAAATACCCTAAACAATGTTAGATTGAATCTCAATTTTTACTCTATCGCTCCTTTTTAAGTGTTATTTTTTTGATAAATCTTTATTCCTTTTTAATTGTCACTTGTAAAGTTTAAGGTGACATTAATTGCATTTTTGTCAAAACCACCATTAGTTATTTATTACATAGAGAGAGAAAAAAAATGAATGTAATAAATAATTAAGAAGAATTATTATTTAAAAGTAACCTTAATGATTAACTTTTTTAGTATATGTAAAAAATCACAAAATGACAATTAAAAAGGGACGGATATATACAAATTAGTCTTGAACTAACATTAAAAAAAGTTAGTTAATATGCATTCATTAAAAGATTTTTATTATACTTGAGTTTAATAATAATATTGAATTTTTTAATGACAAATTGTTAGAAGCCAATATTTACTCCATAACTATATATATATATATATATATATATATATATATATATATATATATATATATATATATATATATATATATATATATATATATATATATATATATATATATATATATATATATATATATATATATATATATATATATATATATATATATATATATATATATATATATATATATATTATTTATAAAAAGATTTATAAATAATTTTAATTAGTTATTAATTATAAAAATGAAAAATAAAGCAAATTAAATGAAATTTACATTAACGTTATCTTAAAATAATATTCGAAACATAATAATTTATCTACATAAATTTAATTTTTTATTTATAATTTATAACAAAAAAAAAAATCTTTATTTGCATGTATTTTATTACCGAATGAATATTATATTTACACATGGGCAAGACGGAACCTTAAATCTCCCGCTACTTTCATCCTATCTCATTTAATATTCAATATACGTCCATGCAAATCTATAACATAAAGAAATGATAAAATGAAAATGAAATATAAAAATTCATTTGGTTTGTAGTTTGAGACACAAAATTTCGACAAATGTATCATAGCTAATGCAATTATACCTAACTTTAACTATAGTTTAATCAAGTGTTCAATTGATATAGCAAATAGCAAGAGTATTATGGTGTCACTTACCATCGTGAGATTGAGATGTAATTGCCGGAGAAATATCTATATCAATCAAATATCTCTTTACCCAAATAATTACTCTTCAATCTTATAATTAACTCTCTCATTTACATTCATACATTCAAAAATTATGACGGACAAGAATCTCATCCACCCTCAAGCCAACTCCACCACTAACGGCGGTGTAGCTGCCGTTAAGCCTTCATTCCCGGCAACAAAAGCGCAACTCTACGGCGCCACCCGCCCAACCTACCGTCCTCAAACCCACCACCGTCCCCGTAGCAACCGTAATTGGTGTTGCACCATTTGTTGCTGGCTTCTTCTCATCCTCATCTTCCTCCTCCTCCTCCTCGGCGCCGCTGGCACCGTCGTCTACCTCCTCTACCACCCCCAACGTCCTTCCTTTTCCGTCACATCCCTTAAACTCACCTCCTCTGAGTTTGATCTCACTCTTTCCACCACAAACCCAAACGATAAAATCACGTTCTCTTATCAACCCATCTCTGTTTCTCTCCTCGCCGGTGAACTCGATGTTGGTGACGGCGTTATTCCGTCGTTTGAACATGGAACGAAGAATACTACGATGTTGAAAGCTTTGGTTGAGAGAAGGAGTGCGAAGAAGAAATCATTGGAGCTGAAAATGAAGATGGAGACTAAGGTAGAGGCTAAGATGTGGGTTTTTAAAACGCCGCGTGTCGGAATCAGTGTGTTATGTGACGGCATTGATGTTGCCGGCGAGAAAGCGGCGACGCCGGATGAGAAGTGTGCGGTGGATGTGAGGTTCAAGGTATGGAAATGGACTCTTGGATGATCAGTACAAGTAAACTTCAAATTCCAGACACGTACGTGTGATGTTTGATTTCATGATGTTTTTAATTTTGGTTTTGATTTTTTTTTTCTTTCTACCTTTCAATCAGACTCTTATTATCAATATTTATAATATTAGTAATAACTAATTGTCCTTTGATATATATATTTTTTGTAATTCTGATATTCATTTGGTATATTTTCTGAATTTTACTTGTAATGGAGCTTTTATAAGGATTGAATCGGTATTATCAAAATATTTTTTTCTTTTGAAAATCAAATCTAAAGAAATATCATAAACTCTTGCTTGTTGTTTGTGTGATAAATTATATAAACTTTTGGTTTTATTTATTAACATTAAACAAATTTTAAACATTCGTAACTTGAATCAAATTAATATTTTAGAAATATGTATTAAAATTTCAAGTATTTGGGAGGAGGAATACATATTTTGTTCGGAGGGTAGTCAATGACTGGCAATTAATGTGTGATTGACGGTGGACTATGACGACAAGGACAGATGGTAGTGGTAAAGTTTTGATGGTCCACGACGTTGTCAGAGCTTTACGAGTGAAAGAGGCTGCCACATATCCACAACGGCGACTAGAATTTGGCAGGTGGTCGTGGATTAAATTTTAACACTATGTAACTTGAATGAAATTAATTTTTCAGAAATATGTCTTAAAACCTCAAGCAATGAAGAGAAGGAAAATATATTTCGGCTGATGATCAATAACATTAGTCCACGATGATAGTGGAAGGCGGCCAACGAGTGGCCGATGGTGGTCCACGATAACGATCAGAATCCAAAAGATAGGAGCAACAAAGCCTCGATGGTCCGCTTCAGAGGAAGAGCTCCAGAAGCGGCTTGTTGTCCATAATGGCGCCTAGAATCCGATAGATGGTAGCAGCAGAGTGTCGTCAACATGGTGGCTTTTGGGCGGTGGCGAGTGGATTCGGTTCACATATCTGTTTTGTGATGGACCATGATTTTTTTTTCTTTTGAATCGGTTGGATCTCATGAGTTATAATATGCATCTATATCACTTTTGTTAGTGATGTGAAGAATACATAGGGAAGATAGGGTAATCCTAGTTAAAGAGGCAAAGGTAGTAATTCTTTGGAGTTTTTAAAATTTGAAAGATTTTTAGAGGTATTTAAGGAGATTAAGAAACACTTTTAAAACATTGAATTTGTTTGATTCTTTTATAAAAGGTTTAAGAGATTTGAATATACTCGCTAGAACATATAGTTTGTTAATGAGAAGAAAAATTATTTTCTTTGAACTCATTTACACTCTCTTGTAACAATTTTTAGAAGTATAATAAATTGAAGAACTCTCTTAAAGTAGATAAATTTAATCAAACTGAATAATTTTTTTTGTGTACTCTCATTTTTCATATTTCTCTTACTTGTTGTGGATCATCCCCTATTTCCCTTTTACTAAAACAATTTATTTTTTCTAAAAAAAAAATTCATTGAATATCTAACACAAATGGTGATGAAAGGTTAAATGCATTTCTATGCGTATATCAAGTTAATCGATTCACTTCATTGTGCAAATGACCAGAACGCTCTCTTTTCATTGCTGCATAAAAAATCAATTGCTTCATATCATTTTTGGATTGACATTTTAATAAACAACTCTTATTTTTCTTTCTATTTAGAGGATCAAAAGTACTGGCACTCATCCCAGGTTATTGGTGATTATAGGACTAAATAAAACTTTATGTAGGATATAAGATATCCCTTTGAAGAAGTTACACACTAACTTTGTAGCCTTGGAGACAAGAATAACAATCATGAGCTTGGGGTTATGTTGATACTCTGAACACATTGGAAATATGAAAGAAAAATATACAAGTTTTATGTTGACGCGAGAAGTTAATTCAGTGTGCTAATCAATTAATTCTTTTTCGCAATAGGCTTTCGAAGCAAAGTTTGTTGCATGTTTTATGTTGGATCGCCAATTCGTCAAAACTTTTCTTTCTGTCCGGGGTTTTGTCAATTCGTCAAAACTTGAAATTTTCACGTTATATATTTAATTTTGTTATTGATATTAATTCCTTCACTATCTATTTTTTTTTTAATTCTAATTGGCAATATAATTGATATGATTTATAGAATTTGGTTCCTTAGAGCATAAATTGATATGTTATAATTTTATCATGTTTGATTGTTTAACTATAACTCATCGTCAATCATGATTCTTTATCCGGTAATAGGAACTAAAATTTGACTAGGATCGATTGATGTTAGCTTATGCACTCTATAGTCAAACTAGAATAGAATTGAAATTAGAGATTGAATTGTAGAACCGGTAGTTCATTGTTGATTCATGGATTCGATTGGTATTAGTCATACACATTTTTATAGAATTTTCCTAAAACTTTCCAAACTAAGAAAACCTTTATAATTTTATTGATTCTAAATTTAGGTAATTGAACTAGAAGTCCTTGTGTACTACTCGAGTGTCGCTTCCTTAAACTATATTTTTATTGACTCATTTTTTACCCGTCCGCAACAATAGATCAATCTCTATACCCTTAAAAAGAATAATTGTGAAGCCAATCATATAATTTGATGAAGAACATGATGAGAAGTTAAAGATTTTTCGTGGCAACTTAAAGCATCAAAAGTAGAAAAATTACAAAAGAAGATATAGTATTTGAATGAGCTTATAGCAAGAGAGATGCACACTTTAAGTGTTCAAGTAGAAAATGGATTTCGTAAGCAAATCATGCTAAAATTAAAAGATACTTCTTCTCACTTCAAATATGTTTTATTGACTGAATATTCTACCAAGCCGACCAACATTAGAAAATACTTGACCACTTTGTAAAAGGAAAAACTTTAAAGGATCCTAAGAGAGAACGCAAGTGCAATTGGATGGAACATTTCAAACTTGAAGGATATATTTCCAGCAAATTGCATGCATAAAATTAAAACTGAAGATAAACTCAAATATATTTTTCAACCATAATGACAACTAAATCCAATAACTAACAAGACAGTGAAAAAGGAAGTACTCAAGTTACTTGAAGTCAGGATGACCTATCCTAATTTTAACAGTTCTTGGGTAAGGCTGGGGCATGTAGATGTTATACAATTGTTAAAAATGAGAAAATAAGTCAATTATGATTCATAATATCATTGTATAAAGGATGTGCATATATTACAAGAGGTAGATCATCTCCTCTTGCCATTCATAAACAAGATTTTAGAGAGATTGACGAGTCAAACATACTAATGTTTTTTGGATGGATATTATTCTTATTAAACACTATTTGGAAAAATCTCCTTGAAGCTAGTTAGGAGATACCATAATCGTCATATGTGATTAGGAGGGTTTTGTAGTTGTCCTTTCCTTCATGGAGGAATTTTCATTTTATATTGCTTGACTCATTACTGGTCCTTCAAGGCATGCCTCTTCACATCCCTCATTACGATGGCACCAAATAACGTCTTCCGCCCTCTATAATTATCAACTAACGTCTTTTCCATCAATGTCTTTAACTTCCATGTAATCATGAGGACATTTCGTAACTGTCTCGTGTGACTGTTCATATGGTATCCTAGCACTGAAGTCAGATCTGATTTGTCCCTTTGCCAGGGTTATCATTACACCAGCTATAACATGTTAGTTTTATATCTAAGTGGTTCCTAACCGAATTCTGACTCGTGTAAGACTTTGGCTTCCTGACATACCTGTGTCTTCGTACTCGGTTTTCCAAGAATTTGGTCTTAGAGAATTCTGGGATGTACATAAGCCTATTAGATCAAAGTGTTCAGACAAGATAATCCCAGAATTCCTTATTCCTCAAGCCGATTTTCTATTCGGCGAGTTATTATATGTCAGTCATCTTAATTATGACAAAGCTTTTCTCTCTCCTAGTCATGATGAATTTTATGGGAACTCTCACTTGTCATCATTATTATTCTTCGGTACAAATTCTTGCTCTTTTACTATCTCTTTAGTATGATATTGCAATCAATCGGGAGAATGCTCGATTTCCCTTATTGCTCATGATATAAATAGAATTTTCAATCATTGCATGAGAGAGTGTGAGGTTCACTTGATTCGAATGGATTTTGACCGGATTATTAGAGAAGTTTTTGGTGAAATCCCTTCACCTATTAGTAGCACTGACTCAGAGTCTTCATCCTCAGGTTCTTTGGACACTCAGATGGAGGCAACATGATCCTTGCAAAGAAGTTCTTAATTACGACCATAGTGTCATTGACGATAACTACATATCAAAGCTTCTTTCTAATACCTCAATCTCTTCCACCGGGAATGAGGAAAATGTTATACTAGAACCTTATGTGGTTGGTGAGAGGGTCTGTATTACTCGACCTAAATGAGTGTCTAATGAGTACTTCTATTTCTATTCAAGAGTAATTGAGGATTTTTAAAATATGTATTCCGATTATCGAATTTGAATTCGATCTCCTCAAAACCCTAAATATAGCCTCTTCTCAATTACGCCCAAGTGGTTGGGGTTTTATCAAGACTTTTGAAATTGTTTGTGACAAAATGGACATAGCGCCTACCAAAGGATTGTTTTTCTCATTTTTTGAGATGATGGGAGTGGAAAAAGGAGGATGGGTTTCCCTCAATGGGATTCCGGGGAAAAGCTTCCTACAAGCTTACACTACCAATTATAAGGGTTTTAAGGACAAATTCTTTCGAGTGAAGAGCGGGAAGAGATGTCCTAAGGTTATGTATGCGCTGGACAAGAACTATCATTTTCCGAT